GTAAAGGTACATGATCCCAACAATAAATGTAAATGTACTGTATCCCTAAATGTACCAATAAACTCAATAAAAAAAAAATAAAAAAAAAAAAAGATTCATGAGGACAGGAGCTGTATCTGTCTGTGTTTACCATTGTGTAACCAGCTGTGGTATAAAACAATAGATATACAGAATCTTAGCCCAAGGGTCAAGAGATAATATATTAAATGTATGAAACGTATGTGTACTCCATTTCTACCACTGATATTTAAAACATCCAATTTAGACAGATAGATAGATACATAGATAGATAGATAGATACATAGCGATGGCTGCTCAGAAACACTGAGTAAGAGCCACTGTGTTACTTCCGATCTTACCTTCAGTGCTCATATCTGCTGTCGGCATCCAGATGTAGACCAAGCCTTCTTCTTTATACAGTCTGATCATAGTGTCTGGGGTCATGGGTTCGGGGTAGCGGTTGCAGCCTGAAGAATTCTGGACAATATCCCATTCTGTCTGGAAATTCATGACAGCTGTAATCCCCAGTTCATGTTTCATTTTGATGGTTACATGCTCCACTTGGCGAGGGCAGCTACCCAGCCAGACACTTGGGAGGATTCTGATGAGAACACACGGGGGTCAGCGATTATTGTTGTTCTGATTTGAAGTCTAAGGAACTGCACAAAACACAGTGTTAAAATGAGATTAACCTTTCAATTTGACCAAAGGAAAGCTGGATTTTTAAGTCCATGAAGAGTAATACTATTATTGAAGTAACGAATACTGCTATTGCTGGTTTGGGGAAAACAAATAATTCAACTAACTAGGATGCCAGGAAATACTAGGTAACAGCAAATGAAATTTAGCAGCATATTGCAGTAAGTTCACCAAGTTGTATTTATTCCATGAACCCATAAAATGCACACAACTCATGAACACATTTCAAATACTAGCCAACTATAGGTGAAAACAACTATAATTATCTCAATAAATTCTGAAAACACTTGTTAAATACATCTGTCATTCCTCTTAAAGCTCAACATATAAAAACTTCAAATAGTACAAGGCCTTTCAAATACACCAAAGAGCAGAAACTAACAAAAATGAAACTTCTTTTAAATAAAATCAAAATCAAGATTAATTCCATTGGCACCTAATATTATTCTTTATGTGTCATCTGATGCTAGATAAGAAAAGGAAATGGCAATATTATGGCTGGTAAAAAAGAGAAAATATTACCAATTTTTTCAAGAATGGTTGTACACTTGAGGCAGAATCCCACACTCAGAGTTTCTGACCCAGTAGGTCTCAGCTGAGTGCAAGGATCTGGATCTCTAACAAGGTCTCACTGGCTCAGGGTCTACACCTTGAGAACTACTTCACTAAGTGATCTGAGTACACTACACAAGCTATATGAAGTATTCAAATGATTCAGGTCACGACACCAGGGTGAGGAAAAATATACAAAAATCAATATTTTATTCTACCAGCAATAGTCAGGAAGAAATACAGCAGGGAAAATCTTACTCAAAAAATAGTAACAAATTATAAAGCACATAGAAATACATTTAACCAAAAAGATCAAAGAAATTTTAATGGAGAATATTTAAAAACAACAAAATCTAGGAACATACCACACTCTTTAATTGAAAGACAATATCATAGAATGTAAAAATCACACAAACATATTTTACAAGTTCATATATAAATTTATTGCACATAATATGTATCATCTTGTTCACTTATTTTACATGCATGTTTTCTTTCCAGAACCAATGGCTAAATACAACATTTGAAACTTCGCTTGATTCATGCCACCTAGAGCTTAAATCAGGTCATGATAGGGCATTCAGAGATGAGTCATTAAAATACCTGTGGTACAAGTTACTGATCTCACCAGTAGTCCCTTCCAGGAATGGAGGATTGAATGTCCCCCTGCTGCAGAGTTACACATGGCCATTCGACTTGCTTTGCTCGAATAAGTGTGAGCTGAAGTGACATGTGCCATCCCTGAGGAACATACTTAAGACAGCATGCATGACTGTGATTCTCTCTCTTTCCCTGCTGTAATGATCACGAAAGTACTTGTGGGAGCTGAGCTGCTGGACGACTGACTGGAGCCACCAGGAATAGCAAACTACCTTAGGGAGAAGAGCTGCTCAGAGAATAGCATGTCGTGCTACGGCAGTCTGGGTATTGTTACCACAGCATAATCGGTCTGATTCTGACTCACACAATGCCTAAACAATAAACTGGTTGCAATTTCTAATATACAGGGCAGAGACTGAGTGACAGATTACATTTTTTGATAGTTCCGCGCATGAGTTTTGAACAATGGTTCTGTTCGGGGCCGATTTTATTCTGCAGATATTTGGCAAACACTATGGAGACATTTTGGATCTTCTCACTAGGTAGTGCTATGTGCGTGTATCCAGTGGATTAACCCTGGGGATGTTGCTGAGACTCCCAGCCTAAACAGGACCGGTCCCCACAACAAAGAGCTATCTAATCCACAATGTCAGTAATGCCTTGGTTTGGGAGAATAAAAGAGATGCAGAACTCCTTACAACTCATTCAGAGGAAGGGAATGTAGCACAGGAGTTAAGACGAAAGTATCTGGTGCAGAGAGTGTGACTCATCAGTTACGATGGTCTGCAGAAACACAATAGATCATATCATATTTTCATGTGTACCTGTATACATATAAAGGAAGATATAGAGAGTAAAACCAAAGTGCTTTATTAGGCAATTGCCTAGGACTATATCCTTTTTAGTGTGGTTTACCACAAGCCAGGAAAAAACAGGTTTCAAATACCAGTTCTACCACAATATTTCAAATAATAACTGGTAGTAATTTTCTGACTGAAATTATTTATTATCACTAAGATTTTGTTGTGCTCATCTTTAGAATGACATTTAAAATAACTAAGTCACAGGAATTTTGTAAGGAGTAAATTCAATTAAGTAATTATTTGAACGGGACTAGCTCTAGTGGATGTAAACATACATGGAGTTTGTCAAGTTATAATTCACTTATTTTGGTAATTCATTTTGTATTGTATTATACTGACTCCAGTTAATTTTCACTGTTCTCTATATTCTTTGTTTGAATGATGCAAGGTATAGAATACTCACCTATTTTGTCATAAAACTCTAGCTTATTTTTGCTTCTTGCTTTTTTGGCATTGTCACTGTAACTGTTATATAAAGTCCCAATTGACTAACCCTCAAATGTGGATGTTACTTCTCAGTTTTTCATAAGATGTGGCATCGTCTTTCTAATATTTGAGCCCTACTTATGCTACAGGAGAAGATAAATCTTTTTTGGCTGCTTAGGTTCTTACCTAAAGAGTTTTTTAAATTTCCTTGTGGAAATCTTTATTGAGAATTATTATGGAAAAAATAAAGGAATAAAACAGGAAAGTGAGAAACCCAAGAACGATTTATGGTGTTGAAAAGAGAGGCACAGGATCCAAAGGCCGTTCGCTTTGTTTCTGACACTGTAAAATCCCAAGACACTCCACAGATCCAGTGGACTGAGAGAAAGACCATGATAGGACAGGTGTGCTATGACTGTCCAGATTTTGTGAACTGGGTACATTATGCAGTCTTCCCAGGGTGGAAATGTCACACACTGCTCGGGTTTTCGGCTCTTCCCTCTGGCTGTGGAGTGGAAGCAGGACCTGCATCAATCCATATGTTCCATCTCTTCTTCCACTGTCCCCCGTTCCTCCTCCAGGAACCTGCTGAATGCTTATGGGGTGATAGCTTCAGACTCCCACAAATGCACGCACTTTGGGGTTGAACTGAGAACCCCAAAGCACCTCCTCCTATTGGAGGGGAATTGGACACCAGTTATGCAACCAAGCAGTATACCCTACTGAATAATAATGAATGTTTTATTGGAAAAAAATCTTCAAATAGATTAGCAAAAGATTTAAAAGAATATCTGTGAAAAGTGAGCTAAATTCCATGTTACTCAGAGTTCTTTTGAAAATTGCACTCTTTAAGTGGATAGCGCTTAATATTTAACTGGTCAATAATTGCAAAAATAAAGTGGCTGACTGATTTTTCCACACAAGATTTGCATAAAAGCAAAGAATAATTCATAGAAATATATAAAGAGTAAAGTAGGACATCTGAACCTGCAAAATAAGAAACCAGAGGCCAGATATTTAACTTAGTGGTTCTGCTGCCTACCTTGTAAGTGCAAGCTCCTGAGTTTGATACCCAGTACCAAAAGAGGAAAAAAAAGATGTTACAAACTACTCTTGGGGCTGGGGATTTGGTTCATTGGTTTTGCTGCCTGCTTCACAAGCACAATGGCCTGAGTTCAATCTCTGGTACCAAAAATAAATAAATAAATAAATAAGAAAGAAACCAGAATCCTTAGGTCCATGCACACACACTGAATTACATGGTATTGAAAGAGGTACCATTCTGCCTTTTTGCTCAGCTCTGATCTTCAAATGTTTTTATAAAATGAAAACTCAGAACAAGTTGAAGACAAACAGACCTGAAGTTGTTGCCTATGTATTTCCCACATTTCTTTTCTGATGTAAATAAGCCCTTAAAATACACATCCATGTAACCTCTTCTCATATAAACACTAGTTTATGTATCAGATATTTCCAACTTTTTCATAACATATTTGACTCTTTTGCCAAATATACTAGAAGTTAAAGTCCATACTTAAGAAGCGAGTATAAAATGATTCATTAGAACAAGGTGTTAAGAACCTGAGAGAGAGAGAACTCTCTTAAACTCTGTAAACAAGCACTACATTCAAGGACTTGGGATTAAAGTTGCAAAGTGAGTTGCACTACGCCATTGTACAGTATGCAGAAACAAGTTGGCAGATTCTGCTTAATCAGACAGCTGAAGTGCCCTTGATATGTGTCCTATTTCAGTTTGTTTTCTAACAGTAGAAGATCCATTTCTAGTTACAGGATACACTAGAGATAACAAGACACATGACGTACTTTCTAAACAGTAATTAAACTGTCACTTACCATGACAGAATAATTTGACACCACTAAAAGTCCATTTGTAGCCAGGCATGGTGGTACATGCCCACAATCCTACTACTCTCAGAGGCTGAGACAGGAGGATTACAAGTTCAAGCCCAGGATGGGCAATTTAGCATTAGTGAGACTCTGTCTTAAAATAATTGGGGGGTGGGCAGAGATTTAGCTCAGTGTACTGCCACCTGCCTAGCAAGCAAGCACAGGTCCTGAGTTCAATCCCTGGTACCCCCAAAATAAATAAATAAATACTTTAAAATAAAATAATTTTTAAAAGGCAGGGATGTGACTTAGTGGACATGCCCTGGGTTTAATCCCCAATATTTTAGGGGGGACAAGTCCATTTGTACTCATTTCATCTTAACAGCTAGTCTTTTACTGATGTCAGTGGTCATTTAAACAATTTTTAATACCAGAATTTTTTAAGGTGAGAAAAAAGCTTCTTATAATATGAAATTTAGAGAATAAATACCCTGTCAATTTAGTTTTAATTTAAGACCTAAGAAAATTCACAGATACAATGAAGGAACAGAAGTTCTATCTTAAAATTATGGACTATTATAAATTACATTGTAAAATTTCCAAGGAATCATTT